AAATGGATAGAGATAAATAGTTCAGAGAATTATAAATGATTATTTTTGGCTGGTGAGCTCCTAAGTGTTCTGTTATTTTACTGTTTTAGCATAACTGGAGTTTTCTAATTTCTCTACAATGAGCATATATTACTTATATAAAATTTTAAAGGTTTCTACTTTATGTGGCAAATGCTCGATAATTAGCCATTATCATGATGTTACTTTCTAGAGGCCTGCAGAGAAAGCTGCCAGGGCCTGCCTGCCCTGAGAAGGCGTCTCCCCACCACCGGAGAGAGAAGACACGCACCACGACACAGATCTGGGTGGGAGATGCTTTGCCTGCACTGACTCTCACGCCAAGGCTCATTCAGCTCAGGCAAAAGCAGCTGCACTTTGTCCAGCTTTTGTCATCAGGAATCTGAAGTAGGCCAGGGAGTCAAAGCTCAAAGTAATAAAGCTAGTATTTGTACAAGCTTATTCTCTGACCATTAACTTTGCTTGAGAGCATCAGCACTGGTGGGGATCCCCGGACAAGATGGGGCGTCTAGGACCCTGTGCTCCTGTCTGTCCTCTCTCATCATCACACATCCCTACAGGCCTTTAACACAACACCCAGAAAGAAGGCTCCACATGCATCATCAAGGTATTCAACCTGGTGTCGCTATTTGAAACAGGAAAAGAAAAGAACTGTTGTTGGAGATCAGAAGCAGAGTTCACGGTGAGACGTAAAACTGAGTCGTGCAGCAAGTTCGCCCTTGAGGTGTTGTCCTTGAAGCCAGGTGAAAATGCGAGATTGGGACTTGGAAAAAGATTACCCTAAGACGTATTCTGACTTACAGGAAACCAAATAACCCCAGGAAAGGGGACAGAAATAAGAACACAGAGGAGAAAGGCGAAGGAGGGAGCGGTGAGCTGCAGCGCGTGCACCGGCCTGTGGATCAGTTCGCAGGGAGGTAAACCGCAGGGCAGGGGACACGCAGGGGTGCAGAAACGTCAAGGCAGGCGAGAATGGCTGTGCCAGCGAGGCAGTCACCTTGTCATTTAGCTGTTTAGAGCACAAGTTCAAGAAAAACAGGTTTTACACTTCACTGACTACAGGGTAAGAAAATAAGTAACTGGAAGTGATTCACGGGAATGCATGTATCAGCCTAGGGCCTCTGAGGATATAATACACATCTAGGCAGCTAGCCTGATGCCTGAGAAATATGAGTACCCAGTGGCAAAGGTGACGGGGAAAGAGTGTACAAGTGCATGTGTGTGTACACACACACAAATTTTCAAACGTGAACCAGGTATGGAAAAGATGAGGCAGTAACATAGTTGCACATGGCAGAAAGTCAATAAATATTAGTTCCCATCCTTCTCTAATTCCTTCTCTCACTCCCACCAAGTCTAATTGCATCAAATTATAGTCTTACCACAGAGCTTCAAGTTGCTACAATGATTCATAAATTTGAAGAGTAATGTGATATTAACATGTTAAACTATCATCATAGAAAACAAGTGAAAGTACATGAATTAAATATTTTATTTGAAAGACTAGTCACAATTTCTCCTTCATTTTAAGATTAAAAAAAACCTTACGTATAACCCTTTTAATCTGAATATGTCCACTCTCACCATAATTGTAATAAAAGTGAATAGAGTTGTACAAAGGGAGGGAAAAAGCAAAGGCAGGCATCGTGGCGACAGGACTCCAATTCTCCAAAACATTCAACACGGTCAGAAGATAAGAAGGGACCTACTTTGGTGGTGATCCTGTACGTGATGTAGGTCTCCATCGTACACACGTGCTTCTTGGGATCATCAACTGTGACAAAGAGGTCTCTGGTCTCACCATCAATGTCATCGTCAAGCTGGAGTCTGTTGAGAAGGGAAGACGAAGAAGCTGGACTCGAGGTGCCTGCTGGAGTCCCGCCGTTGGGCAAAATGAGATCCTAAAAGGAGAAGAGAATCACCTTACAAATGAAATGGAAGCACCCGCCTGGAGAGCACCAGCGACAGCAGCTGGTTTAGCCAAACCAAGAAACACCTCTAAGGACAAAAATAACTTTCAAAGAATCTGAGCCTCTCCTTCCTTAATGGTTCTTAAGTGAACGGGTCTTTCACGGCCGAGAGAAAGGGATGACAGGCAGTGCCCCACACCAAATCCGTGCTGACTCACCTTCCAGCAAGTGCTGGAAGGACCAACAGTTCAGGGACAGGGAACACAAGAGCCACCGCCACTGTCAGACTTCGACAGAGAAGAACTCTGTGAGCACACCACATTCTCTCTCTCCCCCAACACCTGGGCCCAGGTAAGCATTAATGGGCTGGAACCCTCTTAAATACCTAACGCATTTAAAAACTGAATCAACCATCACAAAGAGACAACTAAACATTATGTGCCTCCTGGAAGAACTTCACACCACCATCTATGAAGTGTGCTGGCCAAAAAAATCAAACCTGAATCCAAAACAAATCTTTAGACGCAACACCAATTCACAGGAAATAGACAGGAGGCAGGAACGTGCTAAACAGTGCTACTGGGCTCCAATCAGCAGAACCTACGCTTACGTGAAACTAAAGAGAACCAAAGACCCAGTTTCTTCAATAAATAAACCAGAGGGAAAAAAGAGAGACAGAAGGAACACCAGTAGATGTACAGAAACTTCACAGACTCACGGACAACTGCAATGGATCCTGATTAAAACGTAGTGTTGAAAGATTTTGAGATACTCAGGAAAATCTAAACATTGATGAGCTATCTGGTGACATGAAAAAATTATTAGGTGTGATAAAGGAAGTATTACGATTTCACACAGTCTTCATCTTTTAGTAACACACACTAAAACATTCATAGATGAACTGATAGGATGTCTGGAATTTGCTTCAAAATAATTAAGGGTGGGTAAGTGGGATATAGAGGCTATAAGATGCCCCAGAGCTGATCAGTGTTGAAGCTGGTACTTACAGGTTCATTATAAATTCTCTTTCGTATTTGTTTAAATGTTTCCACACACACACAAAAAGTTTAAAGTGGGGGAGATGGAGCAATACCAGAAAAGAAAGATTAAAAAATGATGGACCTCTTTCTCTTCAGGCCTTGGTAGGAAGCCACCTGAATAAATTAAGTCCCTACAACATCAAAAAAAGGTTCAGTCTTCTAGTTACTGTTTCTGGTTTTGAGATGTGGTAAGGGGACAAAGCCATGTCCAGCAGGATATGTGAGAGCCTCTGAATGTCACCTGGGGGTGATTAGGGGGCAAAGACAAAGGAATATGGCAAGAAAGTGGCTTGATCCTAAGCGAAGAGCCTTGGTCAGGACCGTTATCGGCATTCCCGACCTGTGAGTAATGAGATCACAGGCTAGGGTGGGGCAGGGGGGTGCCTTCCCCAGATCGGTCTCTGCCTGTGTGCAGGGAACACACAGGAAATGAGAAGTCAACCTAGCAGTCAGATCCATGAGCTTCAGCTGACCGTGGCACGTCTGAGAAGAGGGCTGGGACAAGGCAGAGGGAAGCATGGTCTGGGGTCAAGGGCAATGTCACCCACCTCAATGAGTGACGGAAAGTGAGTGAAAAAGGCTCCTTCCTTTGTCTCCCATCTCTACGGACCACAGATAATTTAATCACATGCTTACTCAACATCAAAAGTACTTTTGTAATTACTGACAGGGCACCACTTCACAGAAGGTGCTCGTGGGGACGGATCATGCCCCTCCACTGCTCCCCAGCCGGGAAGGCACACCCCTCAGCAGCTGCTCTCGGTGTGGACGGCAGCACCGGGCCGATCTGACACTGCAGGGCACATGAAGGGACCTCTCCTCCGGAGCCATCATGTTGTCATGTCAGTAAATACATAAACGCTGACCTCAGACAAGGCACCGTGCTAGGCACGGAGGGGCCCACCCTTACATTTTACCAACGCTAGCTCACCAGGCCTCAGCACGGCTCTATCATCTCTGGCTAAATATTGCATAAAAGAAAGAAAAAAATTCAAACTCTTTAGTCAGATAAGCCAACATCAGCTTGGACAGCAGTTTCGCACAATCTGGCCTGGACTGCTCCTGGGACCCCGGGATCCACAGCGCCGTTTCACAGCCCTCACCGTTGCCAGCAAAGCAGCACCCCTCTTTTTTATGTAGAGGGCATCAGGGGTCTCACAGGAATCTGCTCAAATGCCCCCTCCTCTTGGAGTCCTTCCTGGATCCACCCCCGGCAGCATTAGTCCCTCCCTTCTCACTACTTTGAAGATACTTCCACTGAAGCAATTTTCACAGTTTTAACCATTTATTTACACATATAACGTATCCACAAGCACTGTGAGCCCCCGCAGCTGTAACTGCGCTCGGTTCACCTTCGTGTGCGTGTGTCATTTATCTGTCCGTCTGTCTGCAGGTCTCCTACGATTTCTCCCAGAGACTCCAGGCCGACTCCCCTAACTTCTGCTCTGGAGACCTCAGCCAATAACCTTCCAGGAACAGCCCACATAAAGGTCTTAAATGTCTTGGCCAGACAGTGGGAAATTATCCAGTTCTCAAATCAGTTAGTGGGGTTGGGGAGCGGAGAGTCAGCCAGACCTTGTCACACCGACGGTTCCTTCCTCTTAGGACTGACTACATGACCCGGGCAAGCACCCACCCCCTCATTACAGGGTGTCTCAAGGAATTATTTTTTGAACGTGTATGAATAGCTAATGAGCTACAAATGCCTGTAATTTCCTGAGAAGGGATCTGCCATCTCCTATTTGCATGGCACATCTGCGCACAGGGCTCCCACGTTCTTACTTCACCGCGCCCTGTGTCAGCCTCGTGAGGTTGGCAGACACGCACTGTCTCTCCCGATGAGGAAGTGGACTCAGAGGTTAAGGAGCGTGTCCAAATGTCCCAAAGGTAGTCACTGCTATGCTGGCTTGAGCCCAGGTTTCTAGTTCCTACTTCAAGGTTGTTCTCAAGCTGAATCCCCTTTGTGTGGCTTTTTTCCAAACCCAAACTGTCCCTCATCTCTATTTTCTGGCCATAAATCCTATTGCATAAACATGAAGCTTCTGTTTTTAAAGCCAGTCAAGGAAAGCTACTATTTTCCCTTAGGGTCTTGATACAAATTATTCCCCAGATAACTCCCCTAAAAATATGGTCCCCGTGAGAAACAAATGTGGAGGGAAAATATGAGAAGGACAGGGCAGGAGGTTAGGCGGACGGAGTGGGCCAGGCTCCTCCGGCCTCAGAGTCCTCCAGCCGCCGTGTGCTTCACTGAGACCCGAGCTCCAGAGCAGGGGTTGTGGGAAGGCAGCACCTTGATGACTCACATGAACGACAGCAGGTGACGAGAGAATCCCCTGGCTCAACACAACAGCCACTCCTTCTCTTTCCTGCCTTACAGTCAGCCCTGCATAGTGCAGCCTGGGTGCCCGCTGAAAAATGTCAGTCAGAACATGTCACCCCCCCAACCACCTCCCTTCCCCTGCTCAGGATGCTCAAAGACCTCCACCCAATCACATTCAGAATTAAACCCACACTCCCTCCCATGACCCACAGGGGCCAACATGGCCCAGTCACGCTCTCTGACTTCATCCCGGACATTCTCCCCCGTTACCGCGCCTCCCGCCAAGCTCATCCTGCTCTGCATTCTCTGGCCTGGGCTCACTTTGACCTCAGGGCCTTCGAACTTGCTGCTCCCTCTGCCTGGAACACTGCTCTCCACACACATCCCACCGGGCTGGCTCTTCTCCTCAAACAGGTTTCTGCTCGAATGACACTTACTCAGAGAGGCCTCCTCGGCCCACACAAATCTACAAACATCCCTGCCCCCTCCATCACTTTCCAGCCCGTTCCCTGGCTTTCTTTCCATCACAGGACTTATCACTGCCTCAAATGTATTACTGACTGATTGTCTCCAAACCAGCCTGTAAATTGCACAAGAGCAGAGACCTTACCTTGTTCACCCCTCTGTCCTTGGGCACACAGTAGGTACTCAGTAAGTATTTGATGAATGAACGGATTTTAGAAACGACCCAACTCAATCTCTTGCCAATATAAGGTGCTCAATAAACATCTGCTGAGTAGGCGGGGAGGGGGATTCTTGTGGAGACACATACACTCACGCGTATACACACGTATGTGCAGGAGCTGTGGCCAGTCTGGTCCAGCTGCTCCCCACCCCACCCCCATTTCCCCGAGTGCATGGAGACAGGAGAATTAGTGAACCCGAGTTAACTCGTAAGGCCTTCTGCGTAACCTGCATCAAGAATTTGAGAAGCTTCTACTGTTTCGCAGGACTTGGCAGTGACTGGGGAGGGCTGGGTGGGTTGGGGGCCTCCGCTGGGACCCTGGGGCGGGGGAAGAGCCACCTTGGGGCCACCCAGTCAGCATGCACACACTTTGGACCTGCTCCGCACACTTGCTGCCAGCTCTGTGGCAGCCTCAGCCAGTGCGTCCCCTCCTTGTACCGTCCCAGCCAGCAGAGCGGGGACCACCGAAGTGGCCGGGGCCTGGCCAGAGGTTGCCCTTTTTCCCTCACCTGTACTCCAGCGACTTTTGAAGATGCTGGGCTGGGACCTCTTACCCCTGAAGAGAGCTGAGGGCAGCCAGAGCTGCCGACACCTACCCCCGTATCTCTCCATAAGCAAGTCCATTTCAAAGGCAGTCTTTCTGTGTTTCTCTTCTCAAGTTCTAGGCCGAACTTTTAGTACAAGGGCCAAGGCTGGGTCATTTAATTGCTGGTGACAGAGAAGGAAGGCTTTGCCAGCAAGACGGAAACTGAAGGCTTGGAGGAAGGGAAAGGTGGCGCACCCCCGACCCTACCCTGGCCTGAGGACTTCCTGATCATCACGGCTCCCACAGGCCCCGAGACCCCACCAGACTGAGGCAGCTATTCTAGCGGGACTTCTGGAATTGGCTGGGGATGCGGTCCCAGTGGGAGAGGCTCCCCTAGAGAGGGAGGGGGTGTGGTTATCT